TCTCATCTTCATCAGCTTAGCCTACTTTTTCCTTTTTTGTCACTGCAACTGCAAATCCAAGCCACTTTGTTGGGTAAACACAGGCAAATTCTCAACACTTTTATCTGAGATTGAAGGGGGACACATAAACAACCTTTGAACGGAAGCGGTGTACTCCTACGTATCTCTTGGAATCTCACTGCAAAGTCCGGCCCCGGCCCCTGGGCTGTCATCTCGATGAAGATATTATCTAATTCCATATTCCCACCCCCGGAACCGCCGGCTTCCTGCAGAGTAAAGCAGATCTCAATGCAAAATCCAATAGTCATGCACACATACAATCCACAATTGAAGAAGATTGAGGGGATTGAGGAATTGAAAGGAGACTCCAAGGTAAACACTTGCGGATGTTCGAGATTAGTTGTGGTGGTGGTCCAGTTCGCCAGTGTCCTTCTGTATTTGCTTTAAAAGGACATTTTACAGCCATCGGCAATTCATCTTGTCCTTTCTTTGCTCCGGCAAAGGAAATAAAAAATTTGTTTGTCAGCTCGCTAGCCGATTCCCAAATGTCTTTATGAGCCCTGTGCATTGTCCTTTTTTTCCTTTTTTCCGCTGGAGCGGAAGCAGGAAGCACTAGCATGTAGGTAAATGTCAAGTCAGCCCAGTTGGCTGCATTTTTCTCGTACTTTTTTGTCCATCGATTGTTTACTTTTCGGCGTATTTTGACAACTAAATTGGTGGGCGAAGGACTTCATCTCGTTTTCCACTTCGCATTTCCCACCCAAGGTGAGCCACCCAGCCAGGCTGCCCTGCCTTATAAATTAAATGTCAACCCCTCGCCCTTCCGATTTCGGCTGAGGCCACATGTTCGATTTCCGGCTGCCACCTTTTCATAACCCACAGAACTGTGGCCAGGACTTTTATGTGAACTGAACTGAACTGGACTGGACTGGCTGTGGATGTGGATGTGGACCGTCTTGAAGGTCGACCGGGCAATTACTTGGGTCAGAACCCAACTGCTGCAATTCCAGCTACTGCTTTTTCCTCCACGCTTCCTTTTTCGACTCGTCGTCCTTGGCTTGTGCAATTTTCTTTGGGCACAACTGTCATTATGGACTTTGGTCAGGCTACATTCAAGATTTGTTGCAATATATTTTTGCCCAGGCTGGGAGGGGAAGGGGAAACCGCAGCCTCCTCCTGGGCCTGGCATGTGGAAAGATATTTTCCAATAAAAATTGGGTTAGTTGAGGAATGTACGTATAGTAAATATTATTTATCTCGGCTTTACAGCTTCAACTTGTTCATGAGAGAGATTTATTTTTAGTAAAAGTTTCTAAGGGGAAATGTTTTTATAGAGAGCTACTTTATGGCTTATAATTGTTTTTCCATTTGAATAAGATATTTCTTAAAAATCCAACTTGTCTCAAAGAAGACATAAAAACAGTTGACAGCTACGCCTTGATATGTGTCAGCCAAGTGTCACTATATTCTATTAGACATTTTTTACAAGTGTATTTAGAGATTAAGGGGGACCAGCAGCAGCATCCAGCATATCCTCGAACCATCCCAAATGACAGACACTTTTTATCCTGTCTGTTATCTTTCGGATACGAATACTCGGGACTTGTAGTTCGGACAGATAGCCTAGGAAAATTTTTAGCTTTAGTTTGCTGCTAATGAGCAATTCATGTCAATTGCTAATTAGTGCGCTGAAGATTCCTATCCGCCTGTCTGAGCTGCCCGAAATGCCTCACTGACTGACTTATCCGGCTATCTGGCCATTTTTATGGCCCAAAGAAACTCCACGACTGCGAGACACAATGGCCGAGAAATTAGCAAACCCATGGCAAGATAAGTCAATTAGGTTTGGCTTTATAGCCGCTGCTAGTGAAAACAAAAGGAGCAGAAAAAAAAGAAGGGCAAGGAGGCCGAAGGAAGCCCAGAGTCGAAGGAAAACCAAATCAAATAAAATGAGGCCAAAATAAAGGCAACAATTAATAAACGCAAACAGAGTGAAAGAGAAACGACAAACGAGGACGAGCCAAAGCTGCCCGAAAAGGATAGTGAGGATGTCTGATTTCTGTGGGGTGGGGATAAGAGGTATGGCATTCAGTGGGACTGCTGCTAGCTGGCTGGGTGGAAGGAAGGACAACCTGGGGCTCGCCTGGGTGGCTGTGACGTGTATGGGCAATTTAAGCTGGCATCGGACAAGCAACTGACAGGAGGCAACCGAGTCTGATGCTCTTGTTACCGAGACTGAGACCTGCGGCCCCCAGAGACGCAATTGTTACATTTAATTGTGATTTTTGTCCTGGATAGAGAGAGAGAGAACGATAGGGAGATGTCCCCTGCCCTACCTCTGACTACATTGAGAGGAAATCGAAGAGGTTTACTAAAATTTACTGAAGATTTAGTACTGAAAAGTGAAATCCTAGGAAACTTTTGCTATAAAGAAATATTAAGTATTAAATAAATATATATTTTCGAGTAATTCTTCCTTTATTTGGTCTATGTATTTTTTCTCAGTGCTCTAGTAAAGCTGCTTGGGCACCATAAAATATGCAACCGCCTTTTTTTCCAGGCTCTCTCCCTGGGCTTTGAGTGAAAGTAATCCGAAATGCTGTCATTAGGCCGAGTCCAGAGCACAGAGCCACAATTAAGATTGACTTGAAAGCCGTCCAGGCGTCAGGCTAATACCACGGCAAGGACATCCTCCACTATATATCCACCAGCAAACCAATCCAATCTCCAAGCCTGAGAGTTATGGCTTTGTCGAAAAGTGGACTCCGATTCGGCTCCGCTCTTCGCCCAGACTCCGGTTTTATCTTGTGGGTCATTTCTCATAATTTTCCACAGCTCGAGAATTATTGCAAAAGTTAATATTAATGACGTTGATGAAAATCTTGTCATTCGTGTGACCAAAAAAAAAAAAGCGAGCGAAAGAAACCTTCGTTATGGAGCACATAAATAAAGGAGCTGCGACCAGGACCACGGACAAAAGCCAGAAGCGTTCACCAAATTGATAACCACCGAAAAAAAAAGAATAAAACCGGCGAAGAAATATTCCTCCTTGGTTGCATGTGCCGCTCTGCCACCACACAAAGGAAAAGCGAGCCACAAAAACCTCGTCCTTGCCGCCATTTACATTTGAAAGAGCCTGCGAAAGCCCGAAGGTGAAGAAAATGAGGGTCACACTTGGGAAAAACAAATAGTAATTCTTAAAAAATATATTGGGAATATATAAATACTATGAATATTAATTAAGAGAACTTAAAAAAAATATTTCTAGTAAGTAATTTTTATCAAATTCTTCTTGAGCTTCAGTAAAATTGAAAGGTTAAAACTAGCGTTTCCTAAGAACAGTTTAACTTTCTATGTATATTTATTTTCTCCCTATATTTACCCATCTTCTTACTCTTATATTGATATCTAAAATTAAAAATTATAATAGTTTTCAATTATAAAACAAATCCTAAAACATTTTTCCCTCCGTGCAGGAGGCTTATTAGACTTGGCTGCTGTTCGTGGCGCTGCTGCTGCTGCTGCTGTGCTGGTGATATAATTTTAATAACTTACATAATATATTCTTTTGTGTGGGCAAGCCACATAATTGTTAGAAACATTAGGCAAATCATTAGCCCAGCACGAAATGTGGGTGGCGGCGGGGCGTTCGGTTGGCTGACGCAATTTGCTAGAAATGTTTTTGTGTTTGCTTTCGGTGGCGACAAAAATATCCGTACCCACATACCCCTGGATATGGGTAAAGTTTCCAGCCAACTAAGGAAAATTACTCACAGATAAAGTGGCTGCCCAGGGCAGCTGTTTTTCTTGGGAATTAGTCGTGAAAGACGGAGTGTTTCATCAAGGTTACTGAGCGCCCAGGCAATCGCTTTTCAATTTCATTGCGGTGATCCATCAATATATTTGCTTTCAAACAAATATTAAACAATTCGAATAAAGCAGGGCAGAGGTTAAAAAAATCGGGAACAAAGAAATGGGAAACCATTATAAATTAACCCTTGGAATATATTTTTGATGGATGATTTTATTTGGGAAATTACTGACATTTCTTGAGGCGTCACAAGCAGGTGAGGTGTCCTGTGAACAATTGGTTTATCCAGCAAAGTATACAGTTTATTTTGTTTTAAAATATTTTATAAAATTAATATTTACAATTTTTAAGAAATAAAATGTAAATAAGAAAACTTCACATACGATTTTAAAGAATATTTTACATTTAAGACCTCTTCTCCGAAAGTAACCCAAACTTGCGTAACTTTTTAAGCCAACAAATCTGCCTAAATCCACACAAACACTCACAAGGACACACTCTGAACAATGGCCCCATAATGCGGATCCATAATAATTATCATTAACCTGATGGGAGAGACAGTTTTTTGGCTACCGAAAAAGAAGTCATGAAGCCACAGGAATTGCTACATGGGGCGCAAACAAAACAGTTTAATTAAAATTATTATTGTAATTTAATGGAATGTAAGGAATTATTATTTTTATGCCACAACAGGAGCGAAGAGAGTCGAAAACTGGCAGAAGGACCTCCTCCGCACACACATGCACACGGCATAAAAATAAATTACGTTTGTATGAAGATTGGCGCTGGCCCATGCACATCATATATTTTCATTATCAAAACAGAGACAGCAGCGAAGTCGCCGCTCGACGGGTGCGGCGGGGGGCTATATCTCCGATTCGGCGGCAAAAAAATAAAAGGATATACGAAGGAAGGACGAACACAAAATACGAGAAAAAAATCATAAATGAAAATACGAACCAACGCCAGCTGTTTGATGCGATTAGATTGAGGCGAGAGAATAGCAGTTTCCCAGCATCCGTTCAGGCAGAGCGAATTTCCCTTTAGACACGCTCTCCGCAGAGAGACTCTCGCCGGAGAATTTTCCGACTGTGCAGAGCCGAAAGGCTCATATTTTCCAGAGCCCTTCGGGGCGGACTCGGCTCTTTCAGAGCTCGGGCGCTCGTGTTCTCTATTTAAAAGAGAAGTTGCGCACGTTGCGGCAGTCAGTCGAAAATCAGCCAACGTGCGCGTTACATTACGAACCGGATAACCATCGGCGCTGCACCACTCTCGAGTCCCATAGAAAGAAAAAAAAAACATAAGAAATTGGGTTCAGCCGAAAAAGTGATAATAGAATTCGCGCCCGCAGCTAAATTAAAATTCATCAGAGGTTCCTACAGACGCGACGCGAGTTTCGAAACAAAAAACCCGGAATAAACCGAACAAATTCAAATTGAGAAAACGAATAATCAAACGCAAAACGAATAGGAAAATTTAAAATTTTAAAAATTCAACACCAAAAGTGCTATAAAATGTGCCGGGTGTAAAACGAGAGAGAACATAATTAACTAACGAAAGAAAATTGGGAAAATCTGGCCTGAAGCTGAGGGAGCACAAGCCGAAAATATGTGCGCAGACTTTTCCTTTGCCAGCCAGTGGAATTGATTTTCTTTTCGTTTCTCCCACAATCCCACAACAACTTCCCTCCTCCGCACCTTTTCTGGTCCAAAGAGTTCGAGTGGCCACCATGATCTACTATACGCTCCTACTCCTTCTCGCCCTGCCCTCGGTCCTGGCCCAGGATCAGCAGCAGCAGCAGCACACCACGGAGTCCCTGTCGACCAAGCACCAGCAGCAGTCGCACTCCAATGCCATTATGGGCGAGGCCGGTGTCTCCAACACCCAGTTGATGCAGCCCGCCACTCCGGCAAGGACTCTGCGTCCCCTGAGCTCCGGCTCTGGCGGGGATCAGGCCCTGTACGACGCTCCCGATGACTGTCACTTTATGCCGGCCGCTGGCCTGGACCAGCCGGAGATTGCGCTTACCTGCAACCTGCGGACGGTGAACAGCGAGTTCGACACCACGAACTTTAGCGTGATTCCCGCAGAGCACACCGTGGCCTTGCACATCCTCTGCAACGACGAGATCATGGCCAAGAGCCGGCTGGAGGCCCAGTCCTTTGCCCACTTGGCCAGGCTCCAGCAGCTGTCCATCCAGTACTGCAAGCTGGGACGCCTGGGTCGCCAGGTGCTCGATGGCCTCGAGCAGCTAAAGAATCTCACGCTGCGCACCCACAACATCCTGTGGCCAGCCCTCAACTTTGAGATCGAGGCGGATGCCTTCTCGGTGACCCGGAGGCTGGAGCGGCTTGACCTGAGCTCCAACAATATCTGGTCCCTGCCGGACAACATCTTTTGCACGCTGTCCGAGCTGTCGGCTCTGAACATGAGTGAGAACCGCCTGCAGGATGTCAACGAGCTGGGCTTCCGGGATCGCAGCAAGGAGGCCGCACCGACTGGCTCCACCGAGGCCAGTTCCACAACCGAGTCGGGCAAGAAAGCTGGCAGCAGCAGCAGTAGCTCCAGTAGCTGTTCCCTCGACTTGGAGTACCTGGATGTGAGCCACAATGATTTTGTTGTCCTGCCAGCCAATGGTTTTGGCACTCTGAGGCGCCTGCGAGTCCTGTCGGTGAACAACAATGGCATCTCGATGATAGCCGACAAGGCGCTCAGTGGTTTAAAGAACCTGCAGATCCTGAATTTGAGTTCCAACAAAATCGTGGCCCTGCCCACAGAGCTGTTCGCCGAGCAGGCCAAGGTCATCCAGGAGGTGTACCTGCAAAACAACTCGATTAGTGTCCTGAATCCGCAGCTCTTCTCGAACCTGGACCAGTTGCAGGCTTTAGATCTCTCGATGAACCAGATAACGTCCACGTGGATCGACAAGAACACCTTTGTGGGCCTGATCCGTCTGGTCCTGCTTAACCTGTCACACAACAAGCTGACCAAGCTGGAGCCGGAGATCTTCAGCGACCTGTACACCCTGCAGATCCTGAATCTGCGCCACAACCAGCTGGAGAACATAGCGGCCGACACCTTCGCCCCGATGAACAACCTGCACACGCTGCTGCTGTCCCACAACAAGCTGAAGTACCTGGACGCGTATGCCCTGAACGGGCTGTATGTCCTGTCGCTGCTCTCGCTGGACAACAATGCGCTGATTGGCGTGCATCCGGACGCCTTCCGCAACTGCAGTGCCCTACAGGACCTCAATCTGAATGGCAATCAACTGAAAACGGTGCCCCTGGCCTTGAGGAACATGCGACACCTCAGGACCGTGGATCTGGGCGAGAATATGATTACTGTGATGGAGGACAGTGCCTTCAAGGGGCTGGGAAATCTCTACGGCCTCCGCCTGATTGGCAACTATCTGGAGAATATTACAATGAATACGTTCAGGGATCTGCCCAGCCTGCAGATTCTGAATCTGGCCAGGAATCGCATTGCTGTTGTGGAGCCCGGTGCCTTCGAGATGACCTCAAGCATTCAGGCTATCCGCCTGGATGGCAATGACTTGAACGACATCAATGGACTGTTCAGCAACATGCCTTCCCTGCTCTGGCTGAACATCTCCGACAATCGCCTGGAGAGCTTCGACTATGGCCACGTTCCCGCTACCCTGCAGTGGCTGGATCTGCACAAGAACCGCCTCAGCTCCCTGTCCAATCGCTTCGGCCTGGACGCCGAGCTGAAGCTGCAGACCCTGGACGTGAGTTTCAACCAGATCCAGCGCATAGGGCCCAGCTCCATACCCAACTCCATAGAGCTGCTGTTCCTGAACGACAACCTCATTACGACCGTGGATCCGGACACCTTCATGCACAAGACCAACCTCACGAGGGTGGATCTCTACGCCAATCAGATAACCACGCTGGACATCAAGTCGCTGCGGATCCTGCCCGTGTGGGAGCATCGGCCCCTGCCCGAGTTCTATATCGGCGGCAATCCCTTCACCTGCGACTGCAACATCGACTGGCTGCAGAAGATAAACAATGTGAATCACATCACCTCCCGCCAGTATCCCAGGATCATGGATCTGGAGACCATCTACTGCAAGCTGCTGAACAACAGGGAACGTGCCTACATTCCCCTGATTGAGGCCGAGCCCAAGCACTTCCTGTGCACCTACAAGACCCACTGCTTCGCCGTGTGCCACTGCTGCGAGTTCGATGCCTGCGACTGCGAGATGACCTGCCCCACGAACTGCACCTGCTTCCACGACCAGACCTGGTCCACGAACATTGTGGAGTGCTCTGGGGCCGGCTACTCCGAGATGCCGCGTCGCGTGCCCATGGACACCACCGAGCTGTACATTGATGGCAACAACTTTGTGGAGCTGGCGGGCCACTCCTTCCTGGGCCGCAAGAACCTGGCCGTCCTCTATGCCAACAACTCGAACGTAGCCCACATTTACAACACCACCTTCAGCGGGCTGAAGCGCCTGTTGATCCTGCACCTGGAGGACAACCACATAGTCAGTCTGGAGGGCAACGAGTTCCACAATCTGGAAAACCTGCGGGAGCTGTACTTGCAGTCCAACAGGATAGCCAGCATTGCCAACGGCAGCTTCCAGATGCTGAGGAAGCTGGAGGTCCTGCGACTGGATGGCAACCGTCTGATGCATTTCGAGGTCTGGCAGCTGAGCGCCAATCCTTACCTGGTGGAGATTAGCCTGGCCGACAACCAGTGGAGCTGCGAGTGCGGCTACCTGTCGCGGTTCCGCAACTACCTGGCCCAGAGCTCTGAGAAGATAGTGGATGCCCCGCGTGTGAGCTGCATCTACAACAATGCCACCAGCGTGCTAAGGGAGAAGAACGGCACCAAGTGCACCCTACGCGACGGCGTGGCCCACTATATGCACACCAACGAGATTGAGGGTTTGCTTCCGCTGCTCCTGGTGGCCACCTGTGCCTTTGTGGCCTTCTTTGGCCTGATCTTTGGACTCTTCTGCTACCGCCACGAGCTGAAGATGTGGGCCCACTCCACCAGCTGCCTCATGAACTTCTGCTACAAGACCCCGCGGTTTGTTGACCAGCTGGACAAGGAGCGTCCGAACGACGCCTACTTTGCGTACAGCCTGCAGGATGAGCACTTTGTGAACCAGATCCTGGCACAGACTTTAGAGAACGACATTGGCTACAGGCTGTGCCTTCACTACCGGGATGTGAACACCAATGCCTACATCACGGACGCCCTCATCGAGGCCGCCGAGAGCGCCAAGCAGTTCGTCCTGGTGCTGTCCAAGAACTTCCTGTACAACGAGTGGAGTCGGTTCGAGTACAAGAGCGCCCTCCATGAGCTGGTGAAGCGCAGGAAGCGCGTGGTGTTCATCCTGTACGGGGATTTGCCGCAGCGTGACATCGACATGGACATGGGACACTACCTGCGCACGAGCACCTGCATCGAGTGGGACGACAAAAAGTTCTGGCAGAAGCTGCGCCTCGCCCTGCCCCTGCCCAATGCCCGGAGCAACAACAACAAGCGAGTGGTGGCCGGCTGTCTGTCAGGACGCACTCCCTCCGTGAACATGTACGCCACGAGCCACGAGTATCAGGCCACGAACGGGGGCGTGATTCCGCCGCCCTCGGCCCGCTATGCGGACTGTGGGGGCAACAACTATGCCACGATTAACGAGTGCGGAGCCACCGCTGGACGCGGCTACAAGGCCATTCCCACCTCGGCCTCGGCGGCGGCGGCTGCCTGCAAGTTCAACACCATGAACCAGCTGTCCAAGAAGCAGCAGCGGGAGCTCAGTGTGGCCGGAATGGCCAAGACGCTGGAGCATCAGCACCATCACCACCACGCCTCCGCCATTGGTGGAGGCCACCAGGCCAGCCAGAGGAGGAGCCAGCACGAGTACGCGGTGCCCAGCTACCTGCCCAGTGTGGGCGGCGCAGCGCCCGCCTACGACAGCGTGGACTATGCCAAGCAGCAGCAGATCCGCAACAATGCCAACTGTGAGTGCATCAATCTGGGCAGCGGCACAGGGAAGAGGTCACAGCTGGTGAAGAGCGCCGCCTCCGGGCTGCCCTCCAGCTTCAGCTCGAACTTTGTGGCGCCCGGAGGAGCCGTGGCAGGGGCCTACAACTGCAAGAAGGCCTGCACCTGCAATGGCGATGACGACCTCCTGTGCAGCTGCGGCGGCGGAGGCGGCTCCATCGGGGTCAACCTGCTGGAGAGCGGCACCCAGAGCAGCGTCACCATGAGCAGCAGCAGCAACAACAGCCGCCAGCCGGAGCTCACGCACTACGAGTCCAACTTGAGCCTCAACGACGACGACGAGGACGAGGATCTGGATCAGCAGAAGAACCTGTGGGCGTAACGGGGTTAAGTCCAGGTTCGAGGAGAACGAACAAACCAGCAGGAGACAGACTGCGCAACCAGTGAATTTATAAAACTTAAAAGGAAACTTAAACCCTAAAGCATAAACTATAAATAACTCTAAATTAATGGGAATACGAGGCGTTAGCATACTTTTTGGGATGGTTCAAACAGACTGATACTTTTAGTTCTTTGCATAAATTAAAATTGATAATCCTGTGTAAATACTGCCCAAGGTATCCTTGAGATTTAAATAGTTTAACCCATGTAAAAATTACACGAAACGGTTTTTATATAAGGGCCTGTACATAGTTACGAATATAATAATATATAATAATTTCCTAATTTATTAAATATTACATAAACAGATACTACGTAAGCAAACCATGTTGAATAAAAATAAAAATACGAGAAGAAAAACCAAACAAAACGAGAACAAGAATCCCCAATCATTTGCAACTCTCCACAGACTCCCCAAAAACACCACCACCCGCCATCATCAGATAGCCAGGAAAATTAATTAGCATGTAAGGAAATTGTACGATAAACATCAAACAATGCCAAAGGACGAGCAGAAATTCGCACCCACGGTGACCGCGTGAAAAATAATGCTGCAAACAATAAAAAGTCATAATAATAGCTGCGACGAAACACGAAACACACACTCACACCGAAGGAAGGGAACTCTATATGCATAATAATAATAATATTAATAGCTGACACTCAACGAATTGAAAATAAAATTATAGTAAATCGTACCCACATTCTGACTCGGCTCTGGCAATGCGATAATGATGAGCCGCCGATAAGGCTGCCGTTGATAACAATTAAGCTCCCAAACGAGGACCGATCGGGGAAATATGAATACGGATACAATTCAACGCAGTTTCTGGCTTAATGGTCTCGTATTTTTTCATTTAAATAACACCGCACATGCCACATAAAAAGTAGGGATTTATGGACAGCCTGGAAAGCAATTACAGTTTACAACGACTCTGTCACTATATTTTTTAATACAATCCATAGTTTTGCAACAATAAAATTAGCAAAAAACTTGTATTAATTTCATTAGAATATCATTCTTTTCTTTTGCATTAATTTCCAAAGTAAATTCGATATTTGTGCATTGTAATTATTTATTTGCCGCATCAATTGGTTAAAGAAACTGTCAGGAAATGCGAAATAAAACCAAACAAACAATCAATGGAGGAGCATATTTTCAGGCCGCCTTTTTTTATATTTTTACTCGAAACGTTGTTCGTTGTCCGTTGCCCATACAAAGCATTTAATGAAATTATTTAATGGCATGCCATTAAAAACAACAAAAGAGCAAATAGGAACAACGGCAGTGTATTGATTGAAACGGAAGCAAAAAGGGAACATTATTATTATTTTTTCCATATTTTTTCATTAAGCAAACAATAAACAAAATATACATGAATAAATAATATTTTCGCATGTCTGACTGCGAAATGTACATATATAAATACTTATATAAATGTACACAATAAAACACAAGTTTCATGAATTGAAAACAAGAAAAAATACGCAGATCCCCAGAGAATTTATTAAAAAAATAAAACAAGCAAAAAAAACACCAAAAACAACAGCAAAGCGAATGGCCTAAAACAATTGAGATACTACTAATAAATAATCACTAAGCATTACGAAATATAAACCTCAACAAAAAACGGAACAGGCAGAAATTATAAAATAATATTCAATTTATTTTTTAGTTACTACAATAAGTTTTGTACAGAATAAAGTCCCAGCAAAAAAGTTACTCGCAAAGTTTTAGCTAAATTTAAATAAGCAAGAACATCCGATGGCAATAAATTGCCATTAAAGATAAAATCTCACTTAAAACCAATTAAGCCCAATTTTAAATCTCCATTTTATAGAATTCACACTCAAAACGAAATGAAACCAAATATTACCATTTAAAGTTTGAGCATTTCAAGTCACAATTACCAACTAATTTCCTCAGACACACATTTCATTGCCACTCACTTACCACACACAACGATGTTAGACCAGCGGAAAAGGGTCAGAATACCGATAGATACGGCTAAAATACTTTATAAGATTTTTGTGTTCCTAAATGCCACTTATGCAAATTAATAACAATTTCTATGTATACATAAATATATGCGGAATATTGAACGGAGGCAGAGAGCAGGTCTGTGAAATACATTTCTCATTTGAAATTTTTTGTTTTAAAAATGAACAAGGCCCATTATTTAGTGTGTAAGTGAAGGTTTATTTTAAATAATCGCAAAAACTAACTGAACAAGCGAAGGATAAGCGAGGAAACATGGACTTAATGAAGTCGAAAAAGAAACAAAACAATATGAAAGTCAAGCAACAATAATAAACAAATTTATTTCAAAAATTGAAATGGAAAGAGTGTTGTTATTTCAAGAATGGGTAACTGAGGGAGACTTGAATTATAATTTGATAAATATTTTAGTTATTTCAGTAATTAATCCAAATTTATTGAGACATTTTTCAATGTTTCAGCTAAGCTCCCTGCTGCTCTTTGTGGCTTTAATTCACGTCACAAACATTCGAGCCAAATCTTTTGTTTAGCTTAATTCCCACAATAAATCATATATTGGTAAGTGAGCTGGTCATCAGTGCTAAAATAATAATAAACCCCCCGATAAATGAATCCCCGAGCACAAATAAAGTCTGCTCTCTGTCTGCGACTCGCTTTTGTGTCTGGGACTGTGTGGCGAGTGTGTTTGAATGCACTTCGAGTGCATTTCGCGTGCCACTTGATGCAACCGCAAGCAATTCATATTCATATGAAAAGTGCTCAACAAACGCACAAATACACCAAGGAAAATTCAAGGAAATAGTTTTTATTATTGATTAAAATAAGCTTGAAATTATATAAAGCGCTTTTTATATGATAATTCATTTATTTTGGGAAAATCTAAGCTTGAAATAGACGCAAACTTCTGATTAAAAATACAATTCTTTAAAGGGTTTAAATATATATTTGTATTCAAATGTATTTTAAATAATCCTAGACATTTTTTCCTGTGCAACAACACGCATTACGCAATGCCATTCCCCTTTTTTCCCCCTCCTTTCGCCAGGCACTTGGCTCCTGTTCCTGTTCCTGTTTATCCTTCCTGTCCAGTCGAGGTGTCGGCACGCACTTTTACATTGAGTGGACGGTAAAGTGGAGACGGGAACAGGGACAGGGGACTGTGACCACACCCATTTTGGCCTGGCTGGCGTTATCCTCGCAACAGGATAACATGCACTATGCATGCAGCTCAGTGCGGGATTAAGAGACACACACACAAAATTTAATTTCACATAATTGCTTTTTCCAAAGTCCATTTAAATTATAATGCCTGCAAGGGGGGCAAAGAGGCGGCCTTATAAAGGGGGGTTGGAGCCTGGCACTGATGCATATTTATGGCATACGCAGACAGTCGTCGATGAATTGGTATTCCTTTGATTTGTTGCTCCTGCATTCCTCGAATGCAGCCAGCGCCATTGCAGTTGCAATTAGACAGAATTTTCCATCATCGACCATAATTCACAGAGCTGGACGACATATTTTTTGCGCAGTTGATTTTTTGCCCAGCAGCAGCAGCAGCAGCAGCTCTGTGTTTGTGTTACAGTTCAGTTTATTAATGCAATGCAATTAGTGAAAATTTGTCAGTTAATGGCAGCCAACAGCAACCAAATAAATAATCCCGCCCGCCCGCCGTTTCAATTTTAATGCGTTTTAGCCATAAATAATAAAGCACACAAACAAACAAACAAACACGCAGGAGATAGCGAACAAATTAATGCATTTTCTATGGCAAAAAGCTCATTAATAAATTGCCAAAATTAAAAGCTTTTTATTTTACCAGCAGAGAAATGCTAAATACATTATGTGGGTGACACAAATTAAGCCAACTAAACAATGGATGTTTTAAGGAAGGAGAAACTACAAACCAAACTAAAATAATTACAATTTCAGTTGAACAATCTCTTCACTGGCTGCAAAAACATATTTGTGGCAAAGGCTTCAAATGAAAAAGGATGCTGAAGAAGGCCTGGGAAGTCCCAAAACTAAATCCTAATGAAATGCAAAATGATAAATTCCAGTGGATTTGACTTATAAAAAGACAAAGAAATTGAAGTAAAACAAATACTTGCATGGTTAATTGAATTAAAATTATTTGTTTAGCTTGAAACCTCTTTCTTTTACCAAAAACAAACACATTCTCTGAGCAAGTTTATGCCATAATTGCCTGCTTTATTTCTAATTAATTTAGAGGACATCCTGCATACCTGCAAATACTCATCAGCCAAACTACTGTCACTTAATTATTTTGGTCTACTTCAAAACAGCACTCAAACAACATTGTCCGCTCCTGGCTCCTACACTCTGAGGTGCAAAAGTCATTCATTAATTTGATTTGAATCTTCAGCCCGAGCTTGGCAATCTGATGAGGTCACAATGAGGCAAAAACAAAAGTGAGGAGTGTCCTGTTCGCAATTCCCCAAGATCCTTCTGGCGTTCTAGCACAGTTTTGCCTTCGTTTTACCACTAAACAATATATATATATAGTGTATAGTATAGTATAAATCCAAAAGAGAGAGAGAGAGCTGGGCATAATTATGTCATGTGCTTATGTTTTATGCTTGCGTTTGCTTAATTGTGAATTATAACCTCATAATTTAGGCCGAGATAAAGGTGGGGAGTGGTTGGGTTAACAGCCTTTTAATACTCCCACCCGGCGAGGCTATATATCAGCTGCCACGCCCACACCCACAATCACACCCACACCCCCTCTTGACGCTCAAGGTCCTTTTGTGTTCTCAATAAAAATCTCATTCGCTGACGCATAACTTTTACTTTTAATTAGTTGTATTATCTCCCTTGTCGGTTGCTAATTGCTTTATTGCTCGACTTGTCCTCCATTTTCTTCGAATTTCCCAGCTCCCAGCTTTCGATATCAGTTGAGTTTCGTTTTGTTTTCCTTCCCATCGCGTCCTGTCGCTTAATTTGAAATCTTTTTGTCGCAGTTTTATCAGCGGCCCCCTTTGGGGCGCCCGCTTCGGTGTCCTTGCGGACAGTTATTGATTTTTAGTCGTCTTGGCTTTGGCTTTGGCTTTTTGGCTGCAAACTGAAAACCAGAATCTGCTGCCATCAAGTCAAGTCAGCTGCTGGCAATTCATAATAGCCCCGAACATTCGCCTGACCTACATACTCGATGGCCATGTGTCTGTCTCCGACTGCTATCGGTTGTTCTCCTTGCGCAAAGGGCGGCAATAAGGGGTTAAGGGTATAGGGAGTAGGGAGAGGGGCGATGGGTAATGGGAGTTAAGAGTTGGAAGCTCGACTTCAAGTCTGGCTATGTCAGAACAATGCGAAAATGGAGGGTACATATTCCAGCAAATAAAAGAAAAG